GCAAACTGGACCCTCTATGTGGCCGGCCAACTCCTCTGGCCAATGATTTCCCCCTTTGCCGATTTCTACTATTTATTCAGCCTGCAAAGGAGTCTGGTAGAGACTAGTCACACCTCACATTTCCTCAGGGCACGCCTCGGGCGGAGGTCGGATTTGTTTACTCAAACAGCTCTGTGTACGTAAGAAACTGTTGAAGTCGTATGGGGTTGGTTAGACCAAGGAGGTTTCAAAGAATCCCTTTTAAACCTTCTCGGTTATACTGGTAAAGATATTAGCAAAATGTGTGCTTATTAGACTTAAAGAGTTTGTGTATATTTTTTTTGTCGTTCAGTGGTACGTTGTCCCAGATATGGTTCTAGACATCTTACTTGTCTTCTGGATACGCTCTGGGATTCAGTTTCATTTGATAAAAAGCTTTGGGTACGGGTCAGAAACCTAAAAAAACGTAGGTATGGGCTGTACCGATTAAAATGTCAGCAGATTTTTTTACATTAAGCTGAACATCTATTTCGTTTAGAATTCATCCTGCATTTTTCTGTCTACGAATTTCTCTTGTATTCCTTATTTTCATTTCCCCAAAACACGGCCCTCGATCTACCACTTCTCGATCCTTTTCCTTCGTGCTTTAGAACCTTCCCTTTGCTGCCGAGTCGTTTTCATCTGTTTAATCAAAGCAAAGTAATTTATTTTTCGTTTCGAATTTATCCTGCATCTTTTCTGTCTATGGATTTCTCTTGCATTCCTTATTTTCATTTTGTTATTTTCACAAAACACGGCCCTCCACCGCTTCTCGACTCTTCTCCGTTCGTGCTTCAGAACTTTCCCTTTGCGGCCGAGTCGTTTTCATCTGTTTAATGAAAGCAAAGGTTCCTGATTAACCTCCCGCCGTCTCGGCTAACCAGAGTCAGATATCCCGTGTCGTACCGGACACCTGCTGTCACCACTCATGTCCTAAATAAAACATCTCCATGGAAACGTTTACGTGGTCCCTTGCAGCTACGCCGCCTCCATATAAAGGTTTTCTCTCTTTTAAGTGAGTCCGTACGTGCCGCCAATGCAAATGTGAGAAACCTTACAGAGACATAAATACAGCATGTATAAACATATCATCCTTACCAGGCTAAATCAGCAGGTTTTTAAAATTTTATTTGGGGCTTATATATATCATATATAAATATATAATGTGCATTTATTTTTCTAATGGCGGATTCTTTTTTGTTGCTAGGTTTCTTGTGGGCATAAACAAGCAGCAAAAACACAAAAACAACCCCCTCCACCCAAAAAGCCAACCTCGTAGAGCCTACTTATTATTATATAATGAGGCCATCCATGTAAGGAGTATTATTTCAATTACGCGCCACTTGCAAGTCTGTTGGTAGAAAAGTGCTTTTTAGACTGTATGTACATTGCATGGATCTTCGGGAAGGGAATTATTTAAGGGTTTAATTTTTTAGGACGCTACGTGCAGAGTTATGCAAATTGGCAAGAAAACATCGGTGGTTGAGGTTATCAAACTCATCTACTTATCATTACAATAGAGCATTTAATACTCTAGCTGTAGGCTGTTCGAGCTTGTTTCTAATAATACACTGTCAACTGCGCACTTAACTTCTGCACCACAGCAGGAGGCAAACAAACCGCTGGAAGCTAAAAATATGCTCATATAAGACACGAGGCAGTGCCTCAGATCACTCCAACAGGCTGACATTTATCCAAATAGGGAGAACAATTTACCAGGGGAGTGTTTTTGAAGCTACAAGCCTCTCCCGGGCTACTGTTGTCGAATTGTCGTAAGAAATTTACGAAGAACTTGTGTCCTGGTTGTGATCAATCGTAAGATTTCTTTTCTCTCAGTTGGCCAACGCGACAACAGCCGTACGTTACCCATAGTGCATCGCGACTCCCAGCATGCAACGGGACCACTTATTTATAACCCTTTTCAGCTTTTGTTATATGTAAGCGGTAGCGTAAAAATACTTCGAAACTTGAGTGAGTTGCACTAATACTATCTATAATACTATCTATCTTCAACGGTTGCTTGAAAAAAATTTACGTGGAAAGGGTTGCAAAGCACCAGATTCTGTATTTCAGGAGCGATGAAAACCCACCTGTATGTATGCCGATGCGCAGGCGCAGCCTCTTGTTGGGTGAGTGCGGGATGGTGACTTCATCAATGGCGACCAGCAGGTCCAGGGCCATGATGGCGATCTGTTCGGCATGGCGGTCTCCGTTCCGCTCGGGCACACCGCTAGCCACCATGTACCTGCACGGAGAGAGAGATAGAGGGAGTGAGTGAGAGAGTGAGAGAGAGAGGGAAAGATGGAGACAGAGAGAGACAGAGTGTGAGAGTAAGACAGAGAGAGAAAGAGAGACAGAGTGTGTGTGTGAGAGAGAGACAGAGTGAGAGAGAGAGGAGAGAGAGAGAGACAGATTGTGTGTGTGTGTGTGTGAGGGAGAGGGAGACAGAGACAGAGAGTGTGTGTGTGAGAGAAAGACAGAGAGAGATAGACAGAGAGACAAAGTGTGTGTGAGAGAGAGACAGTGAGAGAGAGAACGAGACAGAACGAGAGGGAGGGAACAAGCAAGAGAGCGAGAGAAAAAAAGACAGAGAGCGAGAGAGAGTTTTCATGACTTTGAAACTACGACTAACCCGTCGCCGATGGTCTCGACCTTGTACACGTCGTACAGCTGTATGCGGATGTCGAAGCAGACGTACAGCGAGTTGAGGATCTCCACCACCTGCATGGGGGTGCAGGACGCCGCGATGTTCGTGAACCCCACGATGTCAGAGAAGAACACGGTAACCTGGGGGAAAATAGAGATGACAAAGATTTTTGTAGATTTTAGTAAAAACAGGAAACCAATGATTTTACAGCTCCGCCCGGAGCCGTATCTCTAGTTGCTGTGAATTTCTTGTTTTATTGTATTTAGTCTTATAAATTTCAGGACGCCGCGATGTTCGTGAACCCCACGATGTCAGAGAAGAACACGGTCACCTGGCGGGAAATAGATATGACAAAGATTTAAAACTAGAACGGCAGACATTTGTTAGGCAATTGGTATGAATCAGAGGCACATCCATACCAAATTTCAGATCGTTTCAGTGTAATACCAGGTCTCCGAGACCACAAATGTAGAGTTTCTGTATATAAATGGCCCACAAAACCAGATAAAACAATTCTAAAAGCCCGTAATCAACAGAAAACAAAAGAAACGTTGAAGGACTGGAAAAAGACAGACAATGGCATGTTTTCCTCTTCGAAGGAAGATGCATCATTTTAACGATCTGTCAAAGATTTCAGATCTAGAAATATTAAAAAACAGGAGGATCGCCGACATTGTGACGTCTTTGAATTAATTGGTTTTAGATCTATTTGCCACGAAACGACACGATGATAATTTTCTACTGAAACCATCGCTACCTGATCGTAGCTCTCTGCTTCTACCGGCTGTCTCTTCTTCAGTTGATCAGCGATGATGGGCGGCAACATTTCGTGCAGAAGGCGGTCTGTCAGCTTCTTCTCCTTACGCAATTCCTACAGTAAACAAACAAACAAACAAACAAATAAACAACAAAATGGATGCATTTTGAGATACATAAATGAGAACAATTAAGAGGGCGTCCCTAACAAAGTACTTTGTACTTAGTACAGAGTAAGGAAATAAGTATTGCATTTCTCAAGAGCACATCACCGGGGCCTGCCAGGGGTTCAAACCTTCAACTTCTGAGTCAACAATCCTAACCCTTGCCACCCGAATCTCCAAGCAGATCTTTCGGGGCTCAAATGATATTTTCAAATTGGCCAGGCAGTATCCATTTGCCAGACAGTATTCTATGCCTTGGCCACTTGTCTTTGCAGCCACCGAAAGATAGATCTGCTCGGGTGTTACTTGCCACCTTGACTGACCTCTGTCCTTTGCTCCAACATGGCGGCGAAGTTCTTGACCCAGACGATCATCTTGTGGACGAGCGACACGACGCCGAAGAAGCAGAGCACCACGACCACCGACAGTGAGGTCTGCAGGGCCAGGGTCCGGTACAGGTGGGTCATCTGGTCAGACACTTCGGCTGTCGTGAAGTCTGACAGGTACGTCTGGCAACTGTGCAGGCTGGGGTTGAGGAAATGTCAGTATCAAACAGATTTCCTCATCCGGAACATTTTTGTTTTGCCGTGCTGAAATTGCATTGGATGCCTTTAACCCCCTTGGAACGTGAAAAGCTTATCTTTTAGGACAGTCTGTCTAGGATTAGGAGTTAATGCGTAGATTATACGAAGCAATGAGAGCCATAGGTAGTTTTGATGCATCTTGCCAATGTAACAAGAGCAATATCGTTTTCAGGCATCATAAAGATGAATCTTGAACCTTTTGCAATCACCGATACCAAAAAAGTCCAGCAAGTCGATCAAGCAATGTCGAGGATTCTGCTTCACTGAAATCATTGAGTGAAACTTGAACGGCCGACTGGAGTACATATTTTGCATTATAAAATTTACAATCAGAAAAAAATGGATTCCTACGTACTCCTGCACGAACTCGGTGATGTTGTCGTACCAGGTGACGGACTGGTTGAAGCTGGGCGTGACGGGTCGGTTCTGTCCCAGAGCCTCCCACCACGTGGACGTCCCCGCGCCGCGCAGCAACTCCAAACCCAGCCCGAACTCCTCGCTACACTCCATGCCTGTTCCCTGGGAGAAACGTTGGCTCGACGCTAGGAACTCGTTGCTAAGGAGATGAAACAAGAAGAGATGATGAGCTTAGAATATGACCAAGAAGCTTCAACGTCCTTGATCATGATCGATATAACAGAGTTTGATGACTCGTAGCACCTCCAAACCCAGCCCGAACCCCCTCGCTACACTCCATGCCTGTTCCCTGGGAGAAACGTTGACTCGACGCTAAAAACTCGTTGCTGAAATTAGAAGAAGCGAGGGGCTTATAATAGAATATAACAGAGTTAACTAGAAGAGAGTTTTTAATAGGTTTTAATTCAGCTACTCACTGACTCGCTACAGCTACTATAACTACATGTACTATAGCTACTCACTCACTACAGCTACTCATTCAACTACAGCTACTTGTACTACAGCTACTCACTCACTACAGCTACTCATTCAACTACAGCTACTTGTACTACAGCTACTCACTCAACTACAGCTACTTGTACTACAGCTACTCACTCACTACAGCTACTCACTCAACTACAGCTACTTGTACTACAGCTACTCACTCACTACAGCTACTCACTCAACTACAGCTACTTGTACTACAGCTACTGCAGCCTACTTACTACAGCTACTGCAGCTTGATACAGCCTACATGTATATCTTTATGCTGATCACTATTTGTCCAATTTCTACTCTTTCCAGCCGCCTCCAGAAGTCCGGTAGAGGCTAGTTACTGACCTGTGATAGTCTGAGTGTGACATGAGCATGAAGAGCGTGTCCGGCAGCCCGCCCTGGGAGTAATACTGGCCGCCCCAGATCCGCTACTACAACTACCTACTGCAGGTACTACGGCTACTTGGCTACGTACTACAGCTACTGCATCTTAAGTTAATACAGCCTGTATATGCCTATATCTTTATGCTGATTTATATCTATATCTTTATTTGCCCAGTTTCTACTCTTGTCAGCCGCCTCCTGAATCCGGTAGAGGCTAGTTACTGACCAGATCCGCTACTACAACTACTCACTGCAGGTACTACGGCTACTTGGCTACTTACTACAACTACTGCATCTTAATACAGACTGTACAGGCCTGTTAGAGGCTGGTTAGATCTAGTTACTGACCTGTGGTAGTCTGAGTGTGACATGAGCATGAAGAGCGTGTCCGGCAGCCCGCCCTGAGAGTAGTACTGGCCGCCCCAGATCCGCACTCGGTCCGCGTGGTCAGCCGCTACCAGCAGGTCAACGTACGCCATCAGGACCTGAACAGTAACAAAATACATAATATTGTACACATAAATATAAGTGCAGGTAAAAATATATTACGTAATCTATAATATTAGTTCATGTTCAAGTTCAATCTTTGAAAGAATCCCCATAGAGATCTGAATTGAAGATTACCTTTGATATGTCGGTGAAGAGTAGACATGCAGGTAATTAGATGCGCCAAAAAACCGTATACTCAAGCAACTGGACATGATGTTGAAAACGATTTCAGGTAACACCCACTACCTTTTGTCAGTGACCTTTTCCAAAATCATATCCAGTTGCTTGAGTAACTATTGTTGGCATGAATTTTTATATTCTCATAAACAACTCAATTGGAACTAAGTTCTGCATATCCAAGCTTTGTGTCAAGCTTTGGCGTGAGGATACTCCGTGTTTGACTATGGTAAGATCAGCTGTACAGGCCAGACAAAAAGATTCAAACACTATTCGAAGTGAACAATGTTCAAATGCTCATACGTACAGCAATGAAGCTGTTTCTTGACTTTCTAATCTAGAACGAAATCGAAAGAACTACCCAGTCTGCTGTGAAAAGTAATCGGCGGTCAATGGATACAGGCGGCCGATATAAAGTCCCCGGGTTACCGGCCATCGAATCTGCTTGGAGATTCTGTTGTGAAAACCCCACGTACAGTTTTAACATGTTATCTCTCTATTTGACCAATTTCTACTCTTTCTTTCCGCCTCCCGAAGGATCTGGTAGATGCTACCGCGTACCTGCCAGACGTTGTTGCGATCCTCGGACCTGACGCTCTTCTCCACCCACAGGATGAGTCGGGAGATGGCCTGCGTGTAGAACGTCATCATGCCCACACACGTGGCGCCCGTCTCGATCTTCGTGCGGTGCAGGTTCAGCTGCCGCAGGAAGTTCTCGCGAGAGTGGAACGCGCTGGACGGCGGGCTGTGTTCGATGTCCTTGTCCGGCCAGCCGGGGATTTCTACAAGGTCAAAACAAGGAGCTTAAAATTATTAAAACTTTATCAAAGATCCTTAAATTTAGGTCAAAAGACTAACAATTCTAGGTCTTTTTTGTGAAGCGATGCGCGAATACAGGTCTCGTGCTCGTTGGTAATATCTCGCGAGAGTTGGGCCGCCATCTTGGATCATCTTGCTCTCAGCACTGACTATGACATTGGCGGTCACCGAAACGTCGGATGAATAAACCTCTTGGATAAAGAGGATCTTTAATTCAGTGACTTACCAACCTGATGAAACTATTCAAGGAGCAGAACTAGTAGTAGTGTGTTATTTAATGTTGAGTTTTAGATAGTGGAACATTATAAAACTCAGTCCTCTTCTTCCCACCTGTAATATCAGTGTCGGTGAGTGTTAATGATTATTAAAGGAAATGTTGTTGTTTTAAGTGGTGATAAATTTTAAAGCTTATTTCTCTTCCTCCCACCTATGATATCAGTGACGGTGAGTGTTACAGATTTTGAAGGATATTTGCCTTTAGATGAGATATTAGAAAGCTAATTTCTCTTCCTCCCTCCTGTAATATCAGTGTCGGTGAGCTAGTTTTACTTATTTATTTCACAAATGTACACTCTTGTACAACAGCAATGTATACATTCTTTCACAAATGTACAACAGCAGGGGGGGGGGAGTAGAAGCGCATCCCCCTGAATTAAGCACAATTTGTCACATCAATGTTGGAAAACAATACATCTAAAAAACGTATATACAAAAGACACATATAAAATTATTTACAAAAGATATACACAATATTACTTAGTCAGCCCATCCAGCGTAGGTCTAAGACCCGGTTACAGATTTTTAAGGAAATATTGGGCTTTAGATGAGATATTAGAAAGCTCTGTTCTCTTTCTCCCCACCTGTGATATCAGTGTCGGTGACCTCAAACGCGTCGTACACTCTGCTCAGCACGATCCCGATGTCCTGGTCGCTGTGACGCTGCTTGGAGACGATGAGAAGCGCCGTAAGGCCTCTCTCCTCTATCAGGCTATATATGGCGTGCATTACCTGCGGAGGGAGGGGGGCATTAGGATCGGTTAATTTTAAAACGGTTTTAAAGGCAACCAATGCGATTTCAGAGCAGCAAATTCTGAATATGGCAATCTATATGATATTGACACATACTGCTTCACATTAGCACATTTGAGTCAGTATTTCATACTTTGGGTATTTGAAACTGCAGAAACAAGCCCCAAGACGAGTCCTTTGTTTTATGGGTGGTACCATGAAGATCAGCCAAGGGCCCTTCCAGTAACCATTTTCCGTCGGGAACTTTTGCTCCGCGAGGGTCAATCTACGTTGGGATAGTGTTGTTGCTGTTGAGTGTAGATACATGACTAGAATATTGACTTTAAAAACTGCATTGGACGCTTTTAATATGAGGTCTCTGAACTCTGTTGTTTACATGTACATATGCACGAAAAATGAGATACATAAAAATAGTGCCGATGGCGAAAATGCTCTGAAAAGAAAGCCAGTAGGGGTCCTTTCCGCTGTGTGTGGATCAAACAATTCTCGCGGCCCGAAGCTTTCGTAACCACTGCTTCTCCTACTGAGTCAGTTAGTCAAGCTTGCTTATGCTTGACGTTTCTGACTTAAGGAAAAGAGATGCTGCTGCAGTGAGTGTTAGTTCAGTGACTAGAAGCTAAGAAGAGTTCAGAGACCTCATATTAAAAGCGTCCAATGCAGTTTTTAAAGTCAATATTCTAGTCATGTATCTACACTCAACAGCAACAACACTATCCCAACGTAGATTGACCCTCACGGAGCAAAATTACCCGACGGAAAATGTTTACTGGAAGAGCTCTTGGCTGACCTTTAGGGTACCACCCATAAAACAAAGGCATTGCAATTGTGGCTTTGCACTGAGCAAACTCGTTATAAAAAGGCATGTAATTTCATGATGTCCATTAAATCTTCCATATCTAAACTCTGTGGCTTACGTGACGGACACTTAAGAAAGACAACAGCTGTTCCAATTCTGAACATCTTTGAAGAGGCGTCGAGACCTCATCTCCACAGATTGTTAATTTGAGCAAACAAAGCTGCTCTGCTATCTAGGCCACTTCTGACGCACATTCTGCAGAAGCACATGTCCATTAATTGCTCTCCAAATTGACCCATTTTTTAAAACCCCCGACTCAATTTAGTTATACTCTTTAAAATATATAAGTTTACAAACTTTAGAAGCGAGAATATCGTACTTTTGTTTAATTCTCAGGAAAAATATATACCTGTATCTGTATCAGTATAGCAGGTATAACCGCCCTTTGGTGTAACACACCAGCAACATATACATGCCTTTTTTTACAAAGAATATCGCACAATAAGTAGAAGCGCATGTTCACTAATTGCTCACAAACTGACCTACTTTTTTTAATCCATTTTGAAAAAAATCTCTGACTCATTTAAGGTAGAATCAAGTCTCAGGGTTATATACATTTCTATGACTTTTTTTGCAACCTTTAAGAAACAAAGAATATCGCACAATCGAGAGAAGGACATGTTCACTAATTGCTTACCAAATTGACCTATTTCTTTCTCAACCCATTTAAAAAAAAATCTTTCAAATCATCAAGTCTCATGGAAAATATGTATTTCATAAACTTTTTTGTACAAATCTTAGGAAACAAGTAGTATCGCAAAATCAGCAGCATATCTTCACTAATTGCTCACCCATTTTTTCTAACCCATTAAAAAAATCTCCGACTGAATTAAGGTAAAATCATCAAAATTGTGAAGTATCAAAGGGGAAAGGGTATATATTTTTACAAACTTAAGCAAGAATATTGTACTTTTGTTTAAGTCCAAGGGGACAATATATATGCCTTTTTTTACAAACTTTAAGAAACAAGTAATATCGCTAACTCGGCACAAGCACATGTCCACTAATTGCTCCCCAAACTGACCCATTTTTAAAACCTATTTTTGAAATAAAATCTCTGACTCAATTCAGGTAAAATCTTTAAAATCATCAAGTCTCATGGAAAATATGTATTTCATAAGCTTAAGCAAGAATATTGTACCTTTGTTTAAGTCTCATAGGGATGTGCATGGTTTAGTAACACGCTTTAAGAACAAAGGATATCGCACAATCGGAAGAAGCACATGTTCACTAATTGCTCAAGAAACTGACCTACTTTTTTCACCCATTTAAAAATCTCTGACTTAATTCAGGTAGAATCAGGTCTCAGGGTCTCAGGAATATATACATTTTAAACTTGAGAAATCTTGAGAATTATGAAGTCTTAGGGGGTATTTTACAAACTTAATAAGAAACAAAGAATAAGTCTCAAGGGGAATATACATTCCTTTTTTTACAAACTTTAAGAAACCAAGAATATCTATCGTACCTTAGTTCGCCACTCCGTGCGTTCTTGTATTTGGGACGTGAGGTAGACCATCTCTACTGTACTCTTCAGGTACAGCACCACCAGGACCAGGATACCCACAGATCCAAGCAGACACACTAGCGAGATCAGGATCACCTGGAAAACAGAACTTTCTAGTTTAAAAGGAACTTGTTTGTTTTGTAATCTAACATTTCAACAGAACATAGTGGAAATAGCAGCGAAATCAGGATCACCTGTAAAAGAACAGAATGGACGCAGTGCACAACAAAAAGTGTACTTTCTGCAATTATGCTCATATACGTTTTGTCGCGTTACATGCAGTAGTTTAATAAAGCAATTTTTATAATGAAGAACTTGGCCATGCCTTACAGCTAGTGTACCTTTGCTATGTATGCAAAATGAGCGAAACATTAATATTCGTAGTTAAATCTTAAACATATTTGCGCTGATACATGGTATATGTTATTGTTCTGTTTGTCTTGATGTTCGTGTGCGCCATCTTTTGTTCCCACTATCACGATATATACACATCTATTAAGTCAGTACGTCAATAACCAATACACCTTTCACTGCCACATGTTTTCCATGACGGTGAAGAGAACGTACAACAATACATGCACGCGTCACTGTTTACGTGCGTGTAATTATAGAACTTATGTTGGAAGGTTGCTTTGTAGAATAACATCTACAGCTGTTAGGTGATTAACTGTTAGGCTAGCACACTGAGATAGCCCTTAAACTACCAATAGTCTATTGGTTACGGTTTAAGACAGGAGGAAGATGGTTAACAGTATTCGGTGTTTGTTGGTCGTTCTTGAGTTTCTGAGTCTAATTTGACCACGGCACTGTATTCGGCATAAATAGTGTCTTAAATAGAAGTTGTTGAGAAATTTCAATTTAAACACAAAAACATCTCACGGGAAAAACAACTTCCTGTTTCCCTCCGTTGGTGAGGCTCTGGCTTTAAAAGAAGAAATGGTAGTGCACTCAAGTAGCAAGGGCTTAAATTTTTAACGATCTACTTGCAGTTAACAAGTAACACATAGACTGATACAAAATAAATGAAGTACACAATGTAAAAAAGAACAGAGATGTTACAAGCGAATGGCCAAATTTCCCACCCAATGATAAAATGATAGGACACAACAGTAAAATGAAATGAAATGAAAATATTATAACACATTCAAGCTCTAGTTGTTACTTCAAACAAAATTGAGATGACGGGAAAATTTTAGTCTGGCTAGAACAGTAAGCTAACATTGGTAGAATGTTCCTTACCATAATTTTAACGTTAGTAAAATGTACCCTACCTTTAACATTTACTTATTAGTAAAATCCAGCTTATCCTTATTCTAGACGTTAGTTAAATCCACCTCACCTGTCTTCTCTTCATCTTCTCGCTAGCCCGCTCGGCCCGGGCGGCTGTCCTGTGCTGCTGGACCGTGTCCGTGTCCATCCGGATGTCGATGGAACTGGCGCTGGGCCGAGGGGAGAGCGTCTGACTCACCTAACGCACAAACAAAGCAAAAATACTGTCTTAAAGGCATCCAATGCAGACGGGTACCACCCATAAAATAAAGGACTCATCTAAGGGCTTGTTTCTACATTTTTAGATAACCAAAGTAAATGGAATACTGATTGAAATATGCTTATGTTAAGCGGTATGTGTCATTATCATAAAGATGGTCTTTTTCATGATATTTCCAATTTTGCTGGTCTGAAATCGCATTGGGTGCCTTTAGGTCTTGATGATCCTAACATGTGACCTATGCTTAGCCCAGTGGGGCAAAATGTACAATACTTCACTATCATACAAAGGACAATATACAGTACACTAGTAAAATGTACTTCGTCTTCTACTTTACCTAAACTACAAATACAAAAAAAAAATATTAGTGGCCGGTCATGTACGCCTTCCACAGAAAGAACAAAGCAAATATAATATTTTAAGTCTTGATCCTAACATGTGGCCTATGCTTGGCCCAATGGGGCAAAATGCACAATTCTTCACTATCATACAAAGGACAATATACGGTACAATAGTACAATGTATTTCGTCTTCTACTTTGCCTAAACTACAAATACAAAAAAATTATTAGTAGCCGGTCATGTACGCCTTCCACAGAAAGAACAAAAAAGCAAAAATAATATTTAAAGTCTTGATCCTAACATTTTGGCACAGTGGGGTAAAAACACACAATTCTTCGCTACCATACAAAGGGCACTCTACAATACACTAGTAAGATGTACTTTGTCGTCTACCTTACCTAAACTACAAAAAAAATTATTAGGGGCCTTCCGCAAGAAGAACAAAGCAACAAAATAATGTCTTAAGTCTTAAGACCTGTGCTTAGCCCAGTGGGGCAAAAATGTACAATAATAATGGTCTCCATGTATTCAGATATAAACCATGCTGCTGTGTTTCACCTGATGATTGCTGAAGTACTTAGGAACAATCTTCACTTTATTTTCATATCAATCAATAGTTTGTGCTTATAAACCTGCTTTTCTCCTCTGGTCTCTCAGTCACAGACGAAAGCTAGTGGATACTACCTGAAACGTCTGACCGTTTCCAAAATCATATCCAGTTGCTTGAGTAACTGTTTTTTGGCGTATCGCATTGCCTGGATGTCTAACCTTCACCGACGTACTTAGGATCAAGATTCGTCTTCCTGTTATCCTATTTTCCACATGCCGGCAATTATTGGCAATCATATGCATATATACGATGTATATAGATGTATATATATATATATGAACGTTTAGTATGCACAAGTACTTTCGACTTCCTCCTATCGCTTCCTCGTAATTGTATGAATGCAGATGATTGTATGATTGCTTCGAATTGGTTTATCCAAGAAGGTTTCTCGAAGGTTGTTAGTAGGTAAAAAACAAAAGATAATATCAAAATGGTTTTCTTTCTCTCACATCAATTGTTTTAACGCTATAAAATAAAGCGACATTTCGAATTTTGTGTCGTTTCACCTGTGCTAGTGTGATTTTCAAAGCTCGTCTTTGTGGTGCAATCAGCTAGGTAAGATTTATTCAAATGCTATGGTCTTCATAGTGTAATCATGTTCATTGCTACCACTGCCTGTTAGATACTCTAAAGAGCCATAGTATGGATATAGTATGTCCCACAGACAAACAAACAATGTTGGGCGATAAGGTATGTTGCACTTTGCAGTCGTAAATTGTGTGAACGTACAACATACAAATGTTAATAAGACCACGATACCAAAACGTTTAAAACATTATGTTAGAACGAAATAAAATATATACAATGACAATAAACAAAGAAAGGGTATTGGGATTTTCTCACACACAACGTAACCAGGTATTCTTCCTACCTTGCTTGCAAACAAGGTCAATCAGACACCATCCTAAGAGCTTCTGACTGGAGTTTTGCTTCTGAGGAAGATGTCTGATCGAAACATAAGCAAGGTAGGAACAATACCCGGTTGTGTATAAGGAAATGCCAATATTTCTACCAACCTGATAAAATTATTTTCGAAAAAAAAAAACGACAACAACAAAGAAAACAAGATCCCTGCACCTACCTGTAGTGAGTCAATAGGTACGGCAATGCGCCGCGCTGTCTTCTGTACTATCCACTCCATCGACGCGAATCAAGGCGCGAAGACGCTTACACTCGCTTCAAACAGCTGTTGGTGTTTACCAAATTTTCCTCCCGACATGTTTTTGCCATTTTCAAGAGCGCAACGTCGGATTGGAAAAGAGCAAACCGCACAGGATGGGTTCTGAGAGCTTCTAAGCAGTTGAGAGCGGTTCGGTTCGGCTGAAGACAGTCTTCTAATTAAGGAAAAGGCCCTCAAAGACAGCAACATGAGAGAGGCGCGTCTGAGCATGCGCGTAATATTGGACAAATCACAAATGAGGTGACTTTCCCCCGTTTTTGGAAAGGCGATGAGCAGCATAAAATGAAATACCTAATTCAAACACACTTTTGGCCCTAAAGTTTTTTGGGATGCATTTCATATTTTGGATGCATTTCATATTTTGAACGAATCAAGAAAACAAAACGCTAAAAAATTAACAAAATAAAAGGACCATGACATCCTATCCTTTGAAAGATGATACTAAATATTCATAATATACAGATAAGTTGACTAGCAGTCAAATGTTACAGTTGCGGTACGTGTACGCTTAGGAGAATAGAAAGATCCGAAATACGGCAGAAAATCAGTCTCTATTGAACGTATTTCAGTGTAGTTCATGTATCTAGTAGTACCTTGTTGTTTCTTGATTTCTTGATTTGATTTGAGGCATTTTCTAAATGTAAGTCACTCCAATTGGGTTACTAAAATTTAGTAGAATTAATGACCAACTTGAGATCCCAACCTGAACCTAATTAGCTACTCGAACGCCGTTTACCGTGCACGCAGAAATGAGCGTACGAAATCTTATAACGCCAATTACTGGGGTCGTGGCTGCTGCTTACCGCATTGTGAGGAGACGAGGAAAATTTAATCAGGGTTAAATGAAAGGACGTCCTCAGGCGGAGAGAAGAAACCTTCCGGCTGCGGCGGCTCACAGAGTAAATCTGATCCATGCACGGGTCTGCTTTCACTGAGAGGCATCAAAGTAGCAGCCGTGTTCATTTCATTTCATTTATTGGTGATGCCACAATGCATTACAAGTGGGAGCCAGGCAGCCATAAGGCTGGTGGTGGCTGCCACTGGTACATACAACACAACACAACACAACACAACACAACACAACACAACACAACACACGACAACACAACACAACACAACACAACACATCACATCACATCACAACACAACACAACACAACACAACACAACACAACACAAGACAACACAACACAACACAACACAACACAACACAAGACAACACAACACAACACAACACAACACACGACAACACAACACAACACAACACAACACAACACAACACATCACATCACATCACATCACAACACAACACAACACAACACAACACAGGACAAGTCAATACAATATACAGGACCTAACAACAAGTTACGAATATCAAATAGCAAAACATAACAGTGCATTATACAATATCGAAGACACATCATCATCAAATTAATATAGTAATCATAAGAATCTCCATAGTCAAAAGAGAAGAGCAAAGATGGAACGGTTGGAAAGTCTGATAGGTTAAAAATTGTTCAAAAGTTAGTGATCGGATGAGAGGTGGTTCCTGCATTTGGCCTTGAAAATTCTAACGGTGGCGGACCCTAAAAGTGTCGGGATAGGGATAAACCACTAAGGAGCTAGCCTTGGAGAGGCTTTCATTAGAAAATACTAGTATCTCAAGGAGATTGATTTTTGTTTATTTCGGATCTTTTTATTCTCCTAGATGTACACGCACTAGCTAGGGACCATTTGACGGCTAGTCAACCGCATTGTATAGTGTGCATATTTAGTATCATCTTTTTAAGAATAGGATGATATGGTCCTCTTTTCTGTTAATTTGTTCGTCTGCGTTTTTTTCTTGATTCATTCAAAATATGACATGCACCCAGGAAAAACTTTAGCTTGGGCCAAAGTGTGTTTGAATGAGGTTGGGTATGATGTAGTTAACACTTTTTGGGGACGTCGACGTTAAACGTACATTCATGAAATGTCATTTGCAGTTGCGCTTGTCTGTCTGTAAGTCAACAGGAATTCAAGAACGGCTGGATGGATTGGTTTTATACTTGGTGCGTTGGTGGCCTGGAATCCATCCGTAAACGCTGTGTCTTCGCTCCGTTTCTCCACTCTGCCTTCACAGAACAGAGCGGAGACACAGCGTTCACGGATGGATTTCAGGCTAGTGGTAGGGTGTGATTGGAAATGATGAGATTTTGCCCCCCCCCCCCCAGTACTACTAGCTTCCCTTGGTACTGCAGTGGAAATTCCAGTTTTGATATCTCGCTATCTGGACATGCTACCTTATTTTTATCTTTTCCAAATCGTTTGCAGTTTAATTTTGAGAATCGTCTTTGTAACCGTTTGCACTTTTGACGGTTGTTTCCTAATATCGAATATCGTATAACGGTAGGCAACTTTCAAGTTTTTTTGAAAGAAAAATGAAGGGAGCTGCGCTTGTTACCGCTGACGAGTGTTCTTCTTACCAAAACCCTCTTAACCTGACCCAGAAAGGACTTTTTCTTAGAATCACAATTTGAAAGGATGTCCAAATTGCATGTGATTTTCGCAGCCAAGTGATTTAATGGCCCACTCGACACACTTTCACACCTTTTGACTACCTTCACGCCAGTGTTCTAACAATACACGCGCCTATTAGAACAGAATAGAACCATCGTAGAGTGGAATTCGTTATCAAGAAGTGGAGTAGCGACATCCTCACTTGATAGCTTTAAACAATGGTTGCAGCAGGATGTGCAGATGTGACGGTTGTTCAGAAACGTGCCTGCGAAGCTGGTGTTACGCCGAAGGGCCGATACAAATTTCATGAAAGTATAATACAACAGATAAGTAATATAGAAAGATATTATATTCCTCTAAAATCATTCTATTCACCTATGAGCATGATCTACCGCCATGTTTATGTTAAACTTTATTTTATTTGCACACGCACATTAGAAATGGAATACAGAATGTAATGAAATGCATTGAATAAAACAGAATATAACCTAAACAGAATGAATGTGCTGGAGATGTAATAAAACCCTCAAGACTTGTTCGAGTTCCCTCCCCCATCCCCAATTAAGAACTTGAAATTCTAATGCCCTCTTTTTATTTTTCACAAACGTTAATATGAACGTAATCACAATAGATGACTTTGTATGGCAAAAGAGACATCTGGCGGCCGATGTCATATTCGCACTTATCTAAATTAAAACTTGATGACATGTGCGGTGAAGAATGATAAGGTGTACAGTATATAACTAACAAAGGACGATAGCAGTTTGACTCACTTCTTCTTTTAGTAATAACTTGCTCGGATTGAAAATTAATATTTCGTACATTGTGTCACACAACAGACTTACGATTTTGATTATGACATTGCATTATGGTCCATTGTTTTCTTAATACGTTTGTTTACCTTCCTGAGACCGTGTTGGTAAACAAATGCTAAGATGATCAGCAGCAACAGCAGAGAAATCGCGATTCCCAACACGGTGTACATCACAGCCTGCGTGCTTCGGAGCACTTCGGCAAAGTTCGTGCCCGACTGACCATCTTCGGTTCCTTTCGGAGATGACGTAGTACGAAGAGGAGCCAATGGCGTCGTTTGTTCCACCACCACTTCCGGTGTGACGCCTGCTGCGTTGATGGACGGAATGACTCTGTTCCAGAAGAACATTTGTGACGACAGCAGGTCGGTCTGGACGTTTCCTGACGTCATGTTGACGCCAAGCTCCAAATATGGTCGGTTGGTGGAGTTGTAGCGGGGCCACTCAACCGGTACCGGATCTGGGTAGTTCGGGTCTCTATGAAAACAAGAGGATGAAGATGTGACAACAACGTGTAGGTAGGTCATAGATAGAAGTAAAATGTATGTACAACGTAGGAAAAAGTAGGAAAAGCCCCTCCGTTCTGTTAAATGAGGATTGGGCAAAAGCAAAATGCTTACAGAAGTCTCAAGAACAATGATAAACAAACAGGTAATTAGAAAGAAACACAGGAACAGCAATTCATAGAAAATACAAAATGGATGGCTAAAATAACAAAATATAGACGATATGGTGTGAATCAATCATAAACTCTACCTGTACAAGAGATAAACATGTCGAAAATATTACACTTTGTGCAAGTGAAGTGTATAATCCCCGTAAAAGTACAGCTCAGAATATGATGAAGAACAGACATCTGGAAACACGTACCCAGATCGAACGAAGTTTGCGAAGTACGTCATCATATTCGTGCTCAGTTCCATTTCGTCATCAGTGACGTCACGAGTCAGGCCGAAGAGGAAGAACTTCTCCTCTCCATGAGCACAGCCAATGAAATCGTCCCTAGCGGAGTAGGACGGGCGATGCGTGAAGTAGAAGTAGTACGTGTTGTGTCCAAGCTTGGCATAAATGTCTGCCGTGAGGACGGTGGAGGCCACGAAGCGCCACTCTCCGTAGAAATCCACGTACCGAGCTGGGAGGTTAGGATTAACGTTATTGTCGACATCGTAACAGTATGCGTACTTGGTGGCCTCGACGACGTTTTCTAAATTGTCCGGAAATGTTGTGGAGAGTTTAGACCGAGCCGTGGTGACGAAGGCATCCACCGACGTGACGGCACGGTAGACTGCAGTTCCGGATACGGATCCCTCGCTGTTTTATTTATTTTCATTTATTTATTTCGCACAAAAAAAAAGATACAATGTGAAGTAAGTAAGTAAAAACACTGTGCAGGAGACGAAGAAGCCTTAAAGGCTTGTACAAGCCCTTCTCCTTAAACACAACAAAACAATCACAATTAAACTGATTATCTGAAATACTTAAATGAAAATCAAGGCAAATGAAGAGAAAATATCAACAAATAGTAAATAAATAAGTAACCATTATACAATTAAAAACAAAATTATAGCAAAATAAACTAATAAAGAAGCTAATATAAGTAACACGAATAAATCAAACCAAGAAGTATAGCAGCTACAGTGACATACCTATTGACGTTGCCCACGAGGTAGTCGCGGTTCTTCAGTGCTCCGGAGCGGAGTAAGTTCTCCGGAGTGTCTGTGAGGAAGGTGCCGTCCACCACGGGCAGCCACGTGTAGATGGAGTCCGACGCCGGCGGGGTTTGTAAGGCGTACGTTAGGAGATCCTCGGCGTTGACACTGCGCAGGCATTCTACCTGTAATAATATAATAACAATAAATGGTTTATTGGTCAAACATTACCCGTGCAATTGCAGCCTTTAATACTGCTGAATTTTTTTTATATATTCCAAATTTCATGACCAAACATGGCGACGGCATACTCAAGTTATATCATCTTATTTTATGCCGCCACCAACGCAGAGTACAAATACAGGACAGAACAATACTCATTTTCACTTGAGTTAAGTGAGGAAAGTCGAGTAAAGTGCCTTTCCCAAGGGCACAAGATCGGTGGCATGTCAGGACTCGAACCCGGGACCTCTTGGTTCCGAGTCGAGCTGCGCCACACGACCCCACACACTGCTGAATTGATGCAGGGTTTACAATCACATACATAATACACATGATACATATAACATATTATTAACCTCTTGAAGCTTGTCATCCGCCGTGCAGTTCAAGAGGTTGACGAGATGCGTCGAGGTTTCCGAAGGGCGTTTGGTGAGGATTCCCGGCGTAAGAGCCACGGCGCTGCATGAGATGGCCCGCAGGTACAGACCGTTGTTCAGCGGGGACAACTGCTGGAATCCCACCGACTCTCCGCCCGCGGACCGCCCGTAGATTGTGATGGCGTGCGGGTTGCCTCCGAACGCTGCGATGTTTTCTTTCGTCCACACGATCGCGGCCCGCTGGTCCATGAGACCGAAGTTCCCCCGAGCGGCTTCGTCACCCGTGCTGAAGAACCCGAAAACGTTTGTGCGGTAGTTGATGGCGACGACTATGACGTTACCGGTGGCAGCGAAGGCTGTAGGGTCTGCGGTAGTGGCCTTGATTTGATTTGATTTTATTAGTTTGCACATAAACAAAACAGACAATACGTAGTACAAAACAAGGATAAAACAGGTGCAGGAGGAGGGGAGAAGCATGGAATGCTTATACAAGGCCCTCCTCCTCTAAACTATACAAAATTAAATATAATCAATAAATGGAAATAATACAATAGAAAATGGAAATAATGCAATAAGGATAATCAAATAATGTACGGTATAAATTAATGACAATTAAGTAAGGTAATGTAAGTTATAAATACAGTGCAATAATGATTATGATTATAATAATTGGTATGAGTTAAAATAAGAGAAAAACACTAAATGAAACTGCCTTGTGTTGGAACCCTCCCCCGTGGATGTACACCATGACGGGGAGAATGTCGTCCGGAGTTTTCCGGGGGACGTAGACGTTCGCGTGGAGGCAGTCCTCGTCCCAGACGGAATGCCGCGCGTCCGGACAATCCGGTCCGGTTGCCGTGGCATTCCGGATTCCGTCCCACGTCGGGTGGGGTACCACAGGGTTACGGAGCCGCAAGGCACCAACGGGGGGCGTGGCGTAGGGTACACCGAGGTATGTCTCCACATCCACTCCGTTATGAGAGTTTACAAACCCACGAATAAGCCCCGAGGTCGTCACCTTCACGACATCAGCACGACAACTGCCGACCATCACCGACAGAAGGCCGAAAAGAAGAAAAGCTTGAAAGATTCTCGCCATAGTTAAAAACACTAGCAGTACATGTACGTCAACTATGCACACACTGCGTCTGTGTATTTTCCGAAGGTCAACATTCGGTCTTTGCCTGTAAACACACGACGTCATCGTTTCCCTTTGCCTACTAAACAGTACCTGGACGTTTTCGTCCTTAAGGCTGTTTCAGACGGAAAAGACATATGTCGAGATATCAAACAAAATAGGGGACCATTTCAAACAACATGTTGACGTATATCTAACTGGCCTAAGAAAACAAAAATAGTATACCCAGGGTTAGTGGTTACAAAGAGACAATGTATGTTTATGGGGTTTTGTTTCTGGTTGTAGCGACCCCATACACCCAAAGTTAAGCACTGGACAGGTGTTCTGTAGTCTTTTTGTCTAGAACTGGGCAGAACAAGTTGAAAAGTATATGGACTCGTCCATAGTTCAAAGGGTATGCTTGCTTTACGTACATACATACACACTGTATACATTGCCCTTTGATCAAACTTACCTCAAACAAAGACGCTGACAGAACACTTTTCCGTCGACATGCTGTATGCTAACGCTAAAACCCATATCTAAGGATCAAGCTATTATAAGCCTGACCTTTGATTATACCGTGTACATAGTGATCTGTAAACACAATTGGAACCGTACCATTTTGTGGTTGCACAGTTAAGTCTTTTGAGACTGACTGATTGACAGACACAGAGAGAATAATATACAAGTACACAAGGGCCTTTGCTTCAATAGATATCTAACACAGGGAACTGCAGACAAGAAATGGCGGGACTGGTCACCGTTTTCGTGACGATATTCCTCCTGTTTCCTGCTCTCCTTGAAGGTGTGCAGGTACAGACTACCTCCGGGACCGTCAGCGGTCTCACCACGACCTACCAGGGGACGGGCGTGTCGGTGTTTCGGGGGATCCCTTACGCTGCCCCGCCTGTTGGCCCGCTGAGGTTCGTTGTATATACAATTTTCTATCTCTATGGTTATACTAGTAACTTTTATTATATCATCATGTTAGGCAACACACTGGGAACAGACGTGGATTAGATCGAGTTTCATCCATTATACTGTATAAGTTTGTCATGTACAACCTTTGGCGGATTGTTCATGCGGATTTGTTGTTATCTTTTTTTTCTAGATTTGTAGTAGTCTAGTTCCGCTGTGATGTGCCTTTCCATAAGATTATTTTGTTCCTATCAAGGTTTCGGGGTGGGACGGTGTACGGGACGCGACGCCATTTTAGCTTAGCACTCAGCGTTTGAGAAAGAGCATGGGAGTTAAACACACACCAATACCAGTGGACTAGCCCCCTGCTGTAGTGATTGCACAGTTGTGCACAATCGTGGGGTCGTGTGGCGTAGCGGCAGAGTGCGCGACTCGGAACTAAGAGTCCCGGGTTCGAGTCCTGACATGCCATCGATCTTGTGCCCTTGGGAAAGGCACTTTACACGGCTTTCCTCACTTAGCTCAGGTGTAAATGAGTATTGTCCTGTAATGTATTTGTCCCCTGTGTTGGTGGCGGCATTAATATAAGTTGAAGAAACTTGAGTGTGTCGTCACCACGTCTGGTGATTTCATGTTGGAATAAATAAAAAAACATAAAAAAAATTGTGTGGCCCAGGGCTACAAAACGGAGATGGCCATGGGCGCCACCATATGCGGCCACGCTAACGATTGCGGGAGGGCTTTAACTAAACTTTCAACCATCTAGGTTTCCACTGTGAATTAGCGGACAGAGACATGCTGCCTTTTCATAACTGGAAGACAGAAGAAAGATGTCCAGACTATGCATGATGTACAAAATGACTAATAAACTGGTGGATGTCCCAACTACTAAGTACCTAATACCAGCCCAGAAGAGAACAAGAAATAGCCATGCCTTCAAGTACCAGAGTTATCAACCAAGGATTGAGGTGTTCAAGAATTCATTCTTTCCTAGAACTATTGCAGAGTGGAACTCACTGTCACCAAGTACAGTAGGGGCATTGTCAACAGATAGCTTTAAACAAAGTCTAGAGCTAGAAGTTCAAGGGTTAGGTGTAACAAGTCGATCGGTGTAATATAGCCAGCTGCCGCCGCGCCGCGTGCCTGCGAAGCTGGTGTGTTACGCCGAAAGGCGGTTATACCGGCTATACAGATGTATACAGATAACATTTTCTTCCTATCGGCAATTTATTTTCGCTGTCCCATTTTCCTCACCCAGGTTCCGTGACCCCGAGCCGCACCCCGGGTGGGACGGTGTACGGGACGCGACGCAGACCCCGCCCGAGTGCCCGCAGAAGGGCGACGCGTGTTGCTTGGGTCGCGCATCGACCCTCTCTGGCCAATGGATACTGCCTGGCCAATTTGATACTGTATTTTTGCCACCCTAAGATCTGCTTGGAGATCACTTAACCTAACTTTCAACCCTTTCTCCACTAAGGTTTCGGGACCCCCAGCCGCACCCCGGGTGGGACGGTGTACGGGACGCTACGCGCACCCCGCCCGAGTGCCCGCAGAAAGGCGACGCGTGCTGCGAGGACTGCCTGTACCTGAACGTGTACGCACCACAGGGTCAGCACCAGGAGGGAGGGCTGGCCGTCATGGTCTACATCCACGGCGGCGGCTTCCAAGTACGTAAGCAAAATCAACCAGGCACTGGCCGTTGCTAAAATGCTTGTGTTTTCGACCAATAGGTTTGCGTTGCGCTATAAGCATTTAGGCAGGCATAAGTATGCATAGTTTTTTTTCTCAAAACGAGTGAGTGAACTGCAAAAGTTTACATGCCTAACTCACTGGAGGGTGGTGTGTTGTTTGTGCTTAGCAGTCTCATATTATGCCCTTCTGGTCCGCCTATGCCCTGAGTTAAGCTACGATGACAACTGCAAAATAGTCGTTCGCTTTATGTTATGTATATTCACTTTGTAGTATTATTGTTATGAAAGCCATACTCTTCAGCCCCGTGAACAGCCAGGCAGGGCCCCGGCTTGGAAATGTGACCCTAGCTATACGTGTATGTATCCCTAGCAGAAGTTACCGTTACCGTTCACATCTTACCTTTGCCAGTCGAAAAGCTCTGGCTATCCAGACCCGACGCCGCTGGCCGTGACGGGGAACGTGATTTTTGTAGCCATCAACTACTGTTCAACTATCTACTAACTATCTACTACCGTTACTTACTATCTACTAACTATCTACTACAGTTACTTACTATCTACTAACTATCTACTACAGATACTTACTATCTACTAACTATCTACTGACTATCAACTACAGTTACTTGCTGTTCACATCTTTCCCAGTCGAAGAGTTCTGGCTATCCAGACCCGACGCCCCTGGCCGTGACGGGGAACGTGATAGTTGTGGCCATCAACTACTGTTCAACTTACTATCTACTATCTACTAACTAACTATCAACTACAGTTACTTACTATCTACTGACTATCAACTACAGTTACTTGCTGTTCACATATTTTCCAGTCGAAGAGTTCTGGCTACCCTGACCCGACGCCCCTGGCCGTGACGGGAAACGTGATAGTTGTGGCTATCAACTACCGTCTGAACGTGTTCGGTTTCCTCAGCACGGGGGACCAGGCCGCACCCGGGAACTACGGGCTGATGGACCAGGTAATATAACTACCTACGTACCTAGTCCCTTGACTTTTTCCTGGTCGTTTCGTTGGTACTAAGTCTTTGGGAGACAAGGTAGAAGTGGGGATGGGCAGCTGTCTCCAAACCTGTCTCTTGAAGCGGTCACCATAACTACTCTTTTCTTTTCTATGCCCCCCCCCTTAGCTTACTTTCTGCCTTCGTCCTTGGTACTGTCAAAGACATTGGGATACTGTAATAGGAAGACTACATGCTGTACAAAAAAAATCAAAATTCAGGTAATATATAAGTAGATCTAAATTTTGAAAAAAAAAAGGATTATTTGAAAATGTCACATTCTACTTCATTCGTGCTGCCTGTATTCTTTATAGAAACTAGACCGCTATTGACATTAGCAACTAATTGAATGGTCATATATTATTTGCATTTTGTTTTATTTTGTTTTGTCTAAAGCGCTTTGCCATGGCGTGGGTCAAGGACAACATCCGGGCATTTGGTGGAAATCCGGACCTGGTGACCATATATGGCAGGTACAGATAAGGTTTCTCCAATTTGAGAGTGAAAGAAATTGAGAAAACATTTTACCCTGATATGTATGTCCAGTACTGCTTTGGGCCCTTGTCGTCTTGCCAGACGATCTACAGCTTCAGTCGCTCTCTGGGTGGTCTGCCTGGGCAGCGCCTCTCGTCTCGTGGCTGGTACAGCCGATTCTGGCCCGGCAGGCTCTGCCGCAGAACAGGCAGCAGTACTCCCGTGTGGTGCTCTTCTCTACAAGTCCCTTTCGTCTGCTCCTAGCGTCTGCCTTCCTGCTCTCTCTAGCAGCTTTGAACAATTATGTCCAGTACTGTAGTATGTAATATTTTCGCATACTTCGTGAGTCTATTCCAGATGAATATTATATAAACAGGCGATCATTTGCCACAAACCACAGATCGGCCGCTGGCCAGGCTGTAGGGATGCACGTTCTCTCCCCCATCAATAATGGACTCTTCCGCCGGGCCATCAGTGGCAGTGAGGGACCCACATCGATGGGCACCTTGACCGTCAAGCCACAGGTATGACGTAACTGACTTAAGGTACTGTACTTAAGCTGCTTCTAACATTTTAGACTTTGAAATCAGGTCAATACATTCATTTGCCACGGCAGCCTACCAACAGCAACAACAAGAAACAAGGTACTATAGGCTCCACCCCTGTGGCGTAGACAAAAAAACTGACAACTCTATCGATACATAGAGCTTTAGACTTGTTGTTATGTTACGGTAGCCTCCTTCGCAGTCTTGTTGGGCGTCGGCGTTATTTTTTCTCTGAGCGACGCGAGTAATATGCGGCCGCGAGGGACGATTTGATGGAGGCGAGGAGTTTTTGCCACGGAGAGAAGGTTTCGCGCTCAAAAATAACGCCGACGCCCAACAAGACTGCGAAGGAGACTAATGTTGCGGCAACTCCTTTTTAAAATAGCTCCTTGGCTTTGGTTGTAATTTATGACTGTGAGCGTACAGGTAATAAATCCTAGCCTAATGGAAAATGCTGTGACCGTAGATATGACGGGCAATAGAAACTGGGAATTGTTTTGTTCGCTTTGTGATTTTTTTTTACCTCCATGGCTTTACCAATAGAATAGAATAGCATTCACATGTCGATATGCATGCACATGCACGAGTTTCTCACTACAGGACACCGCCAAGGCTTTAGGCGCAGCTGTGGGCTGCGACACCAGCGACACAACCGCCATGGTAGAGTGCATGCGCAGTAAGGATGTGAACGAGCTCTACTCTGCTTCAAGATCCAGGGACGTTTCGGCCCCGCCGGATTCTCTTTACAAGTAGGTATTCCAAACCCGTAGTGCGTAATGCTATTATAGTATAGACATTAGATTTAGAGGATGCCATGCTGCGTTTACAATTCGTCATGCCATACCATACAAGCTATAGCCCCACTTAAAAAACTTAGAAATGCATGTTAAAAACATAAAAATGCAAATATTTGCCGAACATATAGCCACCGTGTCATTGGTCAAACTGCTAATTGCCACGCTATCATTGGTTTATCTGCTAATATTGTGATGGACAGTCAGGATCTGCCTATAGACCAGATAGACACTTTTCGCAAAAAAAGCTGCATGTTAAATTAGTAGAAATGTTATCATTACGATGGTTGTGTTGCTCAAATTCGTTTCGCCAAACCTGGCAAGTATTCACGTGGACAGGCGAGACTTTGATCGACGTTGACCAACGCAGTGATTACCTTTTCAGCACCAAGGCCAGATGACGCCACGTTAGTATCTTACCCCCTTCTATGGACCTTTCCGGTCGAACACCATAAGCCCCGCCCCCTGTTCTATTTCCCCTGGTTTCCCGCGCTAATTTTGTCCAGGGTGTTCGAAATAGAACAGAGGGGTTCGACGTGTTCGATCAGGAAAGGTCCATTGTCCTCGTGTTTCAGGTTTGTACCGACCGTAGACAGCGTCTTCGCGCCCAAGACGCCCCGAGAGTTGCTCCAGGAAGGAAACTTCGAGCGGCGTGACTACATGTTGGGTATCGTCAGCAGCGAGGGGTCGGTGTTGGGCACCTCTACGCTGAACTCCATCCACACACATGCGGACTGCGAAGCCGCGGCCGCGGACAAACTGAGGATTTATGAGGAGAATGCAGCACAGGTGAACATGAGGGAAAGAGAGAGAAAGAGAAAGAGAGAGAAAGGGAGGGGGAAAGGGAGAAAGGGAGAGGGAGAAAGAGAGGGAGAAAGGGAGAGGGAGAAAGAGAGGGAGAAAGAGAGAGGGAGAGAGAGTGTGTGTGCGTGTACCTTACCAATTAACCATTTGTAAACTAATTTGACACTTGCTGCTACCCGATGTGTTGGTTAAAATTGCATATTAAGCGATTCATCATTATTTCTTTCATTTCAACTTTCCTCACTCCTAGGTGACCCAGGCCGTCGTTAGCGAGTACTGTTCGGACGGGCACGGGAACCACGGCACGTCTCACGCCGAGCGCGCTGCCAGGTTCTACGGAGACTGGCGCTTCGCCGTCCCGCCTATTCTGGACGCCGAGACCTACTCACGCCTCCACAGCGGAACCTACTTCTACTACGTGAGTAAAGCTGCGCTGTCGGTATTGAATAGGGGTGTATAGGTTGCATGAGCTATTTGATTGTTCTAGTAGTCACCGTCGCCCGCGTTGTTAGGGAAGCGAGTGTGGGAGCCCCGGCATACAAGTAGGATGGTACCCAGGCTATATAATAATAGTATTCACTCCCGCCATGTTGGTTGAGTTTGCAGATCAAAGATGGCGGCTGGTCCTTTATAGCATGCAAATGATAAATTAAAGAAAAAAATTCTCATAGTCTAGATATGCAGAGAGACGTCGAGGGTAAAGGGGATTCAATAGTTTGGAGAGTTTTTTTTTCATAAAAAGTCAACCGACCAAGATGGCGGGCAGTGAATGACGTCATAGTCACGTGAGTGCAAAATGCATATATTTCCCAGTTCGCCCCGCGGCCGTCGTTCTCCACCAGACCGTCCTACATCCAGGCGGCGCACGGGGACGAGAAGTACTTCCTGTTCGGGCCAGAGGTCAACGGAAAGACCGTGACGTCAGAGGAGCTGGAGATCAGTACCCGGATGATGGTCTACTTCTCGAATTTCATGAAGACTGGGTAAGTTTGCCAGGAATGAGGTTGGCGTTCTCTGCTATCCATTCTTTGTGTGTTTATGACAAGGAAGCGCCGAATTAAGAACATTTCATTTTTGAGGCATTCAATGCAATTTCAGGGCAGCAAAGCTGGATTTTCAAAGTCACTTTTCTGGTCATTCTTTTAATGCATTAATTTGAATCTGTGCCATAGCATACTGATATTTGTGAGGCAAAAAATGCAACAGAAGCGCTAATTAACAGAAAACGGTTGCTTGTTTTGCTCAGCATGTTTCTAGCTATTTATGGGTAAGTGTGAAATAATAACGAAGATGAGCTGAGACATAGCAGTAGATATGAATATGAGACAGTTTTCTTAATCCAGAATATTGCCGCCATACCGCATTGGATGTCTGTAAGTCAACTTTTTCACTTTCTCCAGAGACCCAAACCGTCCTGACACCCTGCCAGTGACCTGGCCAGCCTACGACGAACTCGGTCGTCAGTACCTGCAACTTGGCGGCATGTCAGCCAGCAGTGTTACATCCGACTTGTATCCTAGACAAAGGTAGTTTTTTTGTTTTATTTATTATTATGTTTACCGAAGGAAAACATATTATTTTTGCTACGTTTCCTCTTCTGCTCCAAACAGTGACCCCTGACCTGGTCAATGACCTGAAGAAGACCGACTCTCACCATGGTAACTGGTGTTGGCCTTATATTATTTGTTATGTTATATAATGTTGCAATTTTATATATATCAGGAGGGATTTATACTCCTGTCTGACCATATATATGAATGTGTTGGAGTAAGAATTAACGGAGCAGAAATATGCGAAGGTAAACATTATGCATTTGCTTTGCAAATGTTACCTTTCTAGTTCCAACATTTATTTCAAGTCATGCCTAAGTTTTTCTAACTTAGTTTATGCCACCACCAACGCAGATAAACGCATGAACAGACATACTTATTTTCACCTGAGTAAAGTGAGGAAATTCGTGTAAAGTGCCGTTGTCAAGAGCACAAGATCGGCGGCATGGCAGGATTCGAACTCGAGACCTCTTGTTCCGAGCCAAACGCTCTGTCGTTCCGCGACCCCGCATGTCTAGTGTGTTCTTTTTCTTTTCAAAGGTTCTTCTGGAGCCAAGTCATCCCGGCGCTGACTACACACGGATCCCACAGCCACAGGGCGGCTGCCACGGAGAAACCTGCAGCCGAACCGCCGACTAACGACAGCCACGGTACTGAAGTGTCCTCTGGCGGAGTTGATGAGTTACTGCAGCAGATCCAGGCGACCCAGTACGCGTTGGTGGGCGTTGTCGTCGCCTTGGTCGTCGTCGTGTCCGCGCTCGTATGCCTGGTTGGCAGACGTCTCAGCAACTCGAAGAAGCTAGTGACAAAGAGCGATAAGGAACCAATGTCTTACCACAATGGAAGCATTGACACCTCACTTTGAAATCCTACGTTTGAGAAGAAAATGACAAATTTGAAATTTATCATTTTGTCCATTATATAATAAAAAAGGGCGATATATGAAACTACCTGTGTCGGAGAGAAATTGTAAATATTGCTCCTCAAATGCAGTGGAAGACGAAATTCATTTCATCTCTAACTGTCCATTTTATGACGACATTAGAAAACAATTATTTACCTCCGTGTCCAAAATGCTCCCTTACTTCCCCACCATTCCCTACCACAAAAAAATTACTACTAAAATTTAAAAAATCCACAAATTATAGAAGAAGTGGGTAAATTCGTCTTCCATTGCCTAAAAAGAAGAAGTCAAACCCAGTAAAACTATAGCACCATGAATGTTGTAGAATATAGTATAATGTTAGACATAGATGTAGTCTCACATACCACTGTATTTTCTTTCTTATGTTGTTTGTAACTGCAATTAGCCCTCGGGCATGTATTTGCAATAAACTTTCTATAACACGTACTGAGCACGTACGCCACAGTATTGAATATGCACGATAACCACTGATCCGTCTGGTACCAGGTAAAAACAACATTAATTGAGTGAAGAAATCTCAATGATTTCCTTGGAATCTCTTTTAAGAAGCGAGGCTGACAGGGAGGTTTTGAATATATACAAGTTGCATCGCTCCGGAATTGAATTGAGGTATTATTGTCTGGCTTCACACGACAGTGTTTGTTTGTTTACAATACAGCCTAAAGTAAGAAAATAAAAAAAAAAATAAGTCTTTCTCTAAATGCTTTGCTTTTGACGGAGTTTCTAAATGATTTTACGGACCAAATTGATTATAAGGTGGTTGACTATACATTTTTTTCATTTTTTAAAGAAAGCAATAAAGCCTATAATAAGAAAAGAAAAAATAAAGTCTTCCTCTAAATGCTTTGCTTTTGACGGAGTTTCTAAATGATTTTTCGGACCAAATTGATTATAAGGTGGTTGACTATACATTGTATATTTTTCATTGTCATTGTTTAAAGGACACGTTTAACTCTGTCACTTCCTTGCCGTATGTAAGTATAATTACATTACCCTTAATGAAATTATAATTACATTATATAATTAAATTAATTAATATTGATATAATTTCCATTTCTTGTTAGTATTTAAAGCCAAACTCTTTACTGGAGGGGATAGTCACCTTGTTCTTGCTAAAATGCTGCACTACTGTCTAGAAACGAAGTCCTTTGATCAATGAAAGAGGGAGCCAGAATTTTATAATAATTAGACCATTTTATTGACCACTGATATTACTGATAAGACAACATTTGTAAGCATCATTTCGTCTTTTGTAGTATTTTCTACACAGAGGAATTTTTTTCTAGTGAATTGACATCTTTCCCTCTTCAGAACATTGAGACGTTAAGAAACATATTTTAAAGATCTTTAAGGTTTTAAAGATCTCATATCCTTAAAGATAGGAACCTTGTCTTTAACCTCTTTTCATATATACATGAATTCATCAGAACTACATGATAAACATCAAATCAGTACAGAATATATTACAGAAGTTCTTTTTTTTTGCTTCACTTCACCTGTATAAAACGTCGAGTCAAACACATGACAATGCAATCAATATATGTATCAAGTCAGGTCTGTGTGTCATAATCACAATAATAGCCTTTGTCAATGCTGGATAAGCCTTTGAGTCCTCATGATCGTGATCATACATGCGACTCTTGTGTTCGAACCCTGAAAAATAAACAGAAGCTTTGCAATGCTGGCAATATGAGAATCGAACCCATATCTTGAGGAACACATCGACCATACAACCACTACATGCATCGAACAAAAGCAAGTATATACAGTTTAAAATATCGAAACAGAATCGTTGTCCATACTCGTAGTCCTATTCCATGCCAGGTTTGTCACTCACATCTTTCTTGTAGGCCACAAAAACATGGTTCCCCTTTTGTAAATGTCTTATATATTATTAGCCATGCCAGATGCATGCACAGTTTCACAGTGTAAGTTCAGATCGTTGTATACTTTCAATAGTGGATATGATATATGTCATATTTCAATATAGTGATACAAGTACCCATAGTCACATGCAGTCTCCAAATTTTGCTTCAAGGTTTTCTGGGCACTTGATTGTTTGAGTACCAGGTTTGAGTACGCAAGTGCCAAGTAGGCTTTTTAAATTTTGTTAGACTTGGCTTGTGTGTTGTCCTGTCCCAGGCTTAAGATTTGTTCTTATACGTGTTTGGACATGAAGGGAAAACCTGCCATGTATGACAAGTTACATGGCCCAAAATAGTTCCAGGGAAGTCTCAAGATGTACAATATTTTGAATCGGGGGGGGGGGGGGTATGAGTCATTATTGTTCAAAGATAAGCACAATCTGCGGAAGAATGTGCACTTTGCTAGACCGAGTTCCTGATTCGGGGCTGTCCGGTATTACATCGATCCAGGTTTGACAGCTATAGTCCAGTAAGGAGTTTAGTTTTAGACCGTTCTTGTCTTGGTTCGAGTCGTGGGGGTATCTGTTTTAGCCTCTAAGATTCCTGTGGCTGTGCCAGTGAGACGTTAGAGTTAACGTATATGTTGGTGCGTGGAAGAGGATCTGGGACCTCTTCTTCCTGAGGCATCTCCGAAGCTTGTGGCTGTGCCAGTGGGACACTGGAGTTGACGTACGTGTGAATCCGTGGGAGTGGGTCTGGAACCTCTTCTTCTTGGGTCTTCTCCGAAGCTTGTGGCTGTGCCAGTGGGACACTGGAGTTGATGTATGTGTGAATCCGTGGGAGTGGGTCGGGGACGACTTCTGCTTGGGTCTTCTCCGAATCGGATTTGCGTGGTGGTCCGTTCAAGTCCAGGTAAATGTTGGGGCCTTTGTCGTCGTCTTCTCCGTCCATCTCCAAGCCTTGTGTGTCCGAGGAGTTCCCGTGTCGTGTCGCAGTAGCCTTTGGTTTGCCCAAGCCGGCCGGCTGTGAGGAGACGTTAGGGTCGCGTGGTGGTCCGTTGAGGTCCATGTAAAGGTTGGGGCCTTCTTCTTCTTCTTCTTCCTCCTCGTCTTCTTCTTTGATCGTCTCCAAATCATACACATGTAGGTCGAAGACCAATGGCTTTTGCCGGGTCATGGTAGCCTTACTCAAGCCTCGTGGTTTTGCTGCTGAGGCGTTGGAGTCGCCGCGTCCGTTGGTACGTGGAAGTGGATCCGGGACCTTCTGTGCTTGAGCCGTCTTCGTGCCTGGTGGATAGTAGGTGGAGTCGCTGACGTTGGCTTGCTTGTCGGATCGTGGGGGAGGATTTGGGACCCCTCTCGCAGGAGTTGTGCCCAGGACCTGTGGCTGTGATGAGGCCGTAGACTTGTTGGATGGTGGAGGAGGGTCTGCGCCATACATCGGGTTTTCCAAGCGCGTCGTTTCGGCATACGGAGGAATGGGCGCGTCGTCCGGGATCTCAGCATACGTGTGGCGAGGAGGTGCAGGGTTGACAGAGGAGGGGGTAGCGGCCGGTGGCTGGATGTTTTGCGGCGGCATTCCTCCCATAGCGTTGCCGTGTAGGTAGTGACGCTGGTCTTGCCGCCTCTCGCGGCGCTTGCGCCAAGCGACCGTCGCCCTGTACAGAAGGACCAGAGCCAGGAATGCGATTGCGGTGTAGATGGCAACCATCGCACCGTACCATTCTCTTCCTGTATAAGCTGCTAGAGTGGTGTCGTCCGGCGGTTTGGTGATCCTTCCCGAGACCTTGCTTTTCTGCTGGACAGGCTTTGAGGTGTGGACAGTGGTCATCACGGTATGCCATTGTGCCTTTTCAGCTGCTAGAGTGGTATCGTCGTGCTTGGTTTTCTTGTCTGGCGGTTTGGTGATCCTTTCTGAGACCCTTCCTTTCTGCTGGACAGGTGTTGAAGTGTGGATAGTGGTCATCATCACGGTATGCCATCGTGCCTTTTCAGCTGCTAGAGTGGTATCGTCGTGCTTGGTTTTCTTGTCTGGCGGTTTGGTGATCCTTTCTGAGACCCTTCCTTTTTGCTGGACAGGTGTTGAAGTGTGGATAGTGGTCATCATCACGGTATGCCATCGTGCCTTTTCAGCTGCTAGAGTGGTATCGTCGTGCTTGGTTTTCTTGTCTGGCGGTTTGGTGATCCTTTCTGCCCCCTTCTCGCTTTCCTGTGCAGGTGTCGTGGTGATGTAGACGGATGCCATGGTGGTGTGCTCTTGTCTCTGCCCTCCTTCGCTTGCCACGCTTGCCTTGTTCAGCGGTAGATCCACGTTGCCTGCCGTAGACTGCACGACGCACCGGTAACTGCCCCCCGTCCAGCACCGGTAGGCTTGCGGATCCATGTGGAGGGTGGAGGTGGACCTGCCGATGTAGGGTAGGCTGGGGGCATCTTCTGGGCGTGCCTTTCTTCCTTCGGGAGACTGCCTGGTGGGACACTCGTGCTCCAAGCGTGTGGTTAGCTTACCGCCACATGGGTTGATGGACTCTCCCTCTCCCACGGCCCTTCCGCCTGGATCCATCCATCCGATCTCTGGCTGCTTCTCCCAGAAGACCTCACACTCGAGAGTGGCTCCGTGATCTTGACGTGATGCCTTGGCTGTCGCCACAGGTGAAGGGCACGGCAGCACCCTTCCCATCTCGACGTCGGCAACCTTTCTCCCGGAGAGAGCTTGTGGGAATCCGCACCGCGGGCCGGTGTACTCGTGGCGCTCGAAGACAGGCCCCCATCTTCCTAGCGCACAGGTGCAGCGGAAAGGATTCCCCCTGAGGTCGAGGGACCTAATCCTGCTGATGGCGGGGAACGACCTCTCGGGGAGGAACGATAGCTTGTTGTGATCCATGTAGAGCGACTCTAGCCTGGGAAGCTGATCGAACGCCTTCCCGGCGATGTGTGAGATGTTGTTGTGGCACAGGTGCAGGATTTCGAGCTTTCTCAGCCCTGCGAAGTACCACTCTTCCACAACACGGAGCCGGTTGTGCCTGATGCTGAGATAGTAGAGCTTTTTCAGTGGCTGAAGGGCGTTCCTCTCGATTTCCTGGATGTCATTCCATGACAGCTGGAGCTTTTGCAGCTTCTTGTCGCTTCCCTCGAACCAGCTTCCGATGGCCTTGATGGTGTTGTTGGTCATGGAGAGAGCCAGGAGATTTGGTACGGAGGAAAACGCTCCGCGACCAGCCGTCAGGATGTGGCCGGGACCCAGAAGCAGCGTGTGCAGCTTGGCCAGACCGGGCAGGGGCTTCAGCTTGCCGCTCCTGTCGGAGTGCCCCGCCACTTGCAGCTTCTTCAGCGTGGACGGAAGGCACCCGAGCTGATTCTCATCCGCCTGCCCGGTCGTGTTGCACACTGCACAAGGCAGGTAATTGCGAAGCAAAGGGACCGACTCCACTCCACTTGTTTTGCAATACCCATCATGCTTTACCTCACAAAGCTCAGAACAAGATGGGCCAGCCTGGGACGGGACAGGCACAAGCACGAGGAAGAGAAACAGTGACAACTTTGTGCCAGCCATTTCAGCATCTTTTCTCAATGGTTTTCTACTACACCCAACAAATCTATTCAAGCCTGACAATGCAAATGGTTAGGATATACTAGTACTAAGCAGTCATGGAATTAAGCTCTAACGTTCTCTACAATGTCCTTGCTTTACACCGCTGGTCGTTGTGGATTCACCACAGCCTGTGATATGCAGATTTTCAACCCAAATGTTTCGTGCTAAGGCGCAACCTGAAAAAGAGGAAAACCTTCTAAATATGTCATGTTCTATGTCGTTAGTCACCCCAAAAGAATGTTGTTTAGCATAATGGTACTATTTTGTTTTACAAACTCGGTTAAAATAAAGCTTGGGTTAAAGTAAAAAAAACCAACGTAACAATGATTGCATACATGTCATGGAATATTAACTTTAATATCTGCTATTTGTTATGTGGAAATTACATTAATGAAAAATGGACCAATCAACAATGTGGTTAAAAGAATAAAAAAATATACCAGAAGTGCACCCCTCGATGTCAAGTGGCCAGTAGGCAGACTTCAGGTTTTCATGAATAAAAAAAGGCTGAAAGAAAAAAAAAACACCATGAAAATTTGGTTGGGCAACACGTGACAATGTTTAGAATGTCATCAGGCTCTTTCCTTTAAAGTTGTCATCAACTCTTTCCTTTAAATTCAAACAGATTAAAATATAATCTTTCTAACTTTGTTATATTGAGTATGGCTACATATCAACGGTCTCATCATGGGCAAGTTGACCATGAAACGCTATATTTCATTGCTTAACTATGCAGAGGTAACATACAGGGAACTGCTACATCTCATGCATATATAAGTACACTCTTTCCTACTAGTAGGACATGAGTAGGATTTTGATAAAACCTACTTTGAATGGCAATATACGAAGATAGCAATGGAAGCAAGCTAACACAAAATTTCTTGAAGGTTTAAAAAATAGGTACCATAAGATTGTATTTTCGTCTGCCACCATATTTGATTACTTACACTGAATAATTTCGCACACAGTTTATTTCTAATTGAATTTATAATTATTGTACTAGTAATAATGAATGAAAGACCTTTATTGTACATTTTTGCTCATTGCGAACTAAGTACAGGTCATGGTAAATAGCGATGGTAGACTAAAATATATCTACATAGTAAAACTACATATGTACAGGTTCTGCTTCTTCTCGCTTCTTAAGACAGTTGTAAATGTAAGAACAGATGGAGTTTATAGTACGAGGATTATCGAGTTTCATGAGGAAAGTGAATTTTTCTTTTCTATCTAAAATCTAAAACTAGGGAAGTAATATTCTATACAATTGAATAGAATCTTTCATTATTATATAGAGTACAATCCACAATAAAATGGTTCATTCTATTTTTTTATATATTTTTTTTTCGCTCAAAAATAGTTCATTCTAGTTCCTGTCTTCCAGATCAATTCAAACTTGAAGCTGGTGTGTTACGGCGAAAGGCGGTTATACCGGCTATACAGATACAGATACAGAAAAACCTTTTTAGCTTAACTTCAGATCATCATCAAGACATAGTAACGATTTGGCAGTAATGCACTTCAAAAACAGAATGTTCACCATGATGTCTAGATTTCCCAATACATTTGTACCTGGAACACTTTAGACCGGAGTTTACGAATTAATTCATCTTTCATGAATTCTAAAATGTCTCACCTTGCTTTTTGATCACTCGTGTATCTTGTTCGGCAGATGGTCGGCAGACCTCCAAAGAGCAGCCTGCTCCCTGGAACAGTCGCCGCTACTGAAATCTTCCAGAATCGCCTCCGTGGTTTATGATAATATCGTTACATATACACTAGTCAGTGTTGACCAATCAGAAGAGCGGTAGCTCGGCGTTGTAGCGACCATTTTATTTGTTTATATAATTCAGAATAGCCTTAATCAAGTTTCTTTACTTGATTACAGTTGTCACTTACATACGAGACGAAATTAGTAAAATAACTACATGAGGGGATCATCTCAGTGTTAATAATCAATTTGAGTTTTATCCTTTTGTCCATTTTATAACCTAACGCGTACTGAACACGTACGACACAGTATTGAATATGCATGATCTCAGTTCAGTTCAGTTCACGATAACCGCTGATCCGTCTGGAGCCAGGTAAAAATAAAGTCAATGGAGTGAGAGTCACCCCAATGATTTCCTCGGAATCTCTTTTAAGAAGCGAATTCAAAGCTGACAGGGAGGTTCTGAATATATACAAGTTGTCACGTAACTAATAGTGGTCTGTCCCGGTGCGGTAGTATTTGTTTACCATAAAGTCTATACTATATTACTTGACTGCATACATTTTTTTATATATTCCAACATCTAATCACAAGACGTGGTGACGGCACACTCAAGTTTTTTCAATTTATATTAATGCCGCCACCAACGCAAGGGACAATACAATACTCATGTTCAACTGAGCGAAGTGAGGAAAGTCGTGTAAAGTACCTTTCCCAAGGGCACAAGATCGGTGGCATGTCAAGACTCGAACCCGGGACCTCTTGATCCCGAGTCGAGCACTCTGTCGCTACGCCACACGACCCCGCAGACTGCATACATTTCCAACGAATGAGATCTTTATTTTTCGTCAGCAACGTCATATTAGTAGTGGCATAATCCTTGAGTAAAAAGCCAACGTTTTAAACCATTATACCAACAGACGAGTTTATTGGACACTGATCTAGACAATGTTTACAGCAAACGTATAAACTTCTTGCATGTTATGAAGTAACACGACACATTGTGGGAATCAAGAGGTCCCGGGTTCGAGTCCTGACATGCTATCGACCATGTGCCCTTGGGAAAGGCACTTTACACGACTTTTCTCACTAGACTCAAGTGAAAATGAGTATTGTCTGTCCAGTATTTAAATTTGTTTCTATGTTCCGCGTGTATTGCACTGTTGCAATTTCAATAAATCAAATCAAATCAATCAAGTAAGAAATGCATCATGGGGAGCGTCAACTTAATATCGTCTGCGTAAGCATAGGTGTAAACGGATGTTGGTAAAAATCAGCGCTAAGACTATCATGTTTGCCAAAAACACACCTGAAAAGACGTCATATATTTCCAGGTAGGGTGAACCAGTGACCGTATCTTGGAAATGCCGCTACATTGTACCAATTCATTTCCTTCACCAGAAGCGGAAGTTACGGCAAATTCCTCTGCACTTTGTACGATATTAACGTCGCCACACGTACACATTTCCCTGTCGCCCAGCTACCTGACTCAGCTTTTTTACTGTACAAGCACACGTGCATATCGGAACATTTACATGTTAAAACTTTGCGTACGGTGGTGACATGCGAAAGGGACAGTCCACAACAACATTTGAACAAAGTATAACAGAATTAGTGAATTAAAATAGAAATTTACAACACCGAAACAATGCCATCATTCGCCGATGATTTGCTACGGGGCTCGATCGCTGGCGCTCAAAGGTCGTTATTTTCGGGGCAGCGAGTGCAATAAGCAACGTAGCTAATAGAGTTGCATCCAGGCTACCAAAATGTTGGAAAGCATAGAAAAATGGACGTTGATTTCTAAGCAACCTTAAGTTTCCACCTGTCAACCTTAAGTTTCTGACAAAATGTGTCGACAAATTCGTACCATTCGTTCATCAAAGCAGCGCACGTAAGCCGAAGTAATGTAGTATAAACGTCATAGCAGAGTCGTTTGCGCAAATAGGTGTGTATATAGGCGTATATAGGTGTGAACGGATGTTAGTAAAAAAAAATCAGCGCTTAGGTGATCATGGCAGAGAGTATTTGCCAAAAACACCAGTCCTGTAAAGACGCCATACTTGTACAGTAAACCAGCCATACTTGGATTTTAACAACTTGGAAATACCGCTACATGAAAAATACATTTCCTTCAAGACCGGAAGTTAGCCAAACACACCTGTAAAGACGTCATATTTGTAGAGCAAACCAGACATACTTGGAAATACTGCTACACGGAATAATACCATTTCCTTCAATACCGGAAATTATTAAGCGCATTCCTCTGGACTCTGTACGAAGGATCGAGTGAGATTACGTTTCCATGTCGTCACCAGCTGACGTATGACCCAGCCCGTACTGTACAAACACTCGGCACGGCAAACATCTGATAACGGTCCGAGGCCACACGTGAGTAGTACAGGAAATGGCGGGGTATAAAAATGCACCGGTTTGGAGTAGCGGACATTCACAACTTCACACCACAGAGAAGAAGTCAAGCTTTGCAGAGGAGAAACTACAGAGAGAGCCAGCAGTATGTATTCTACAGCCGTCTTCTGCCTACTGGCCATCATGAGTGGGGCACTGGCCGTGCCTGTTACGGACCAGGTAAGTTTACGCCGTTCTCTGTTCTTAGCCCTAGAGTTTCACCCACTAACATGTTGCATAAACGTAAATTTTCTATCTCTTTTATGGTAAAAATGCTGATTTCTATGCTCAATTCTTTCCCAGGTTAACAGCACTCAATCGGTGATAGAAACTGTTCAAAACGCGACCCAGCAAGCACAAGATGACGCCACAGTGCAGCCAATAGCAGTTAACGTTACAGAACAGGTTAACGTGACGCAGCCGACGACAACAACACAGTCCACGCCATTGGTCACTGACAGCGCAGCAACCAATGCAACAGAAGCAGCTGTGCCGGTCGAAACGACCACCGAGCTTTCAACCACCGAGCCACCGAGTAAGCAAACCTTTCTTTTACTTGCTTAGCGTATTAAGAGTTTTAGCAACGTTGTATTTACCAGTTACGCGGAGATGTGTGTAAAGAAATAAGTTACATATCAACCCTGTAAACATTACGCCCCAGAGCTTCGTACGATCAACTTAAGAGCACTTTGTATAACACGTTATAAATTCACACAGGGCAATAACCAACAAATCATATGTGTCATTATATTAGAACAATCAATTACATATTCTCAGGCAACTGGATAGATTTTGAAAATGGTCAAACGTTTCAGGTACATACAGAATCCACTACCTTTATTCAATGCCCGATGCTCATTGACATGGTATATTAATATTACTATCTCCAGAGTTTTCATTTACCTGTGACGGAAAGACGCCCGGTCTGTACGCAGACCCGGACAACTGCCACCAGTACTACGAGTGTGTAGCGGGCTTCTCCACGGCGTTCCTCCGCCACTGTGCCCCGGGAGGGCCCGTCTTCGATCCCGCCAAGCAGCGCTGCGACTGGCCCGAGAACGTTCCAGCCCCTTGTGGGGTGAGTCAGTAGTTTTTTTTCCCATCTACTTTATAGCTTTATAGTCTACTCACGTTAGGATGTGCGAGGAATGGTTAGATTTTTTAACCCTGGCGTCTTGTTTTGGCATATCGTGGTCTGGATATGCTAAATAAGGATTTGGAGTGGCAGAATATGCAATGGTAAGCACTTGGCCACATGAAAAATTTGGTGTAATTTTGGGCCCTAAGTGGCTTTTTTTAACTGAAGGGGCTAATTTTGGAGTACATGTATTATATCGATTTTTTTATGCAATTGTTGCTAAACTTCCTTCATCTTTTATAACGTTTTCCTGAACTGATATTCCAGACAATTGTAAAGGCCTGGGAAGACGGAAACCTCCGAACTAGGTCAAGTCCTGTGGCCAGAAGTTCCTCCACCTTCTCCTGTACGGGGAAACAGCCGGGCCTGTACCCGGACCCCGACGACTGTTCCATGTACTACGAGTGCGTGACGGGCCATCCCGTGTACCACCGGCCCTGCGCCCCGGGAGGAACCGTGTACGACCCCGCCAGCCTCAGGTGCATGTGGCCCCACGAAGTGTCCGGTCCATGCGGGACAAACACAAATACAAACGTAAGACCATTCGAACAATTTCTTTCACATTCACCTTTTTTTCTTATTTCTAGCTTAAGCTTACCTATCGATGGTGGAGGTTCTAGACATCTAGGTAATAAGATACGCCAAAAAACAGTTACTCAAGCAACTGGATATGATTTTGGAAACGGTCAAGAGTTTTAGGTAGCATCCACTACCTTTCGTCTGTAACACAGGTGAGATCTCATGATCAACAGGTTTGTAACCACGAACTTATATTAATATACATGTACAAATAAATTGCTTTAGGAGAGAGCTTAACATTGGTATCATATTATTTCCTTCCCAATCTAACCGTATCCCTCTTGTATGTACATTTAATATCCACAGGTTTTGACTGACGATACCTCAGCAAGCCTTCTGACTCACGATATCCCGGCCGTTCTACCAACCTTCTCCTGTACGGGGAAACAGCCGGGCCTGTACCCGGACCCCGCCGACTGTTCCATGTACTACGAGTGTGTGACGGGCCATCCCGTGTACCACCGGCCCTGCGCCCCGGGTGGAACCGTGTACGACCCCGCCAGCCTCAGGTGCATGTGGCCCCACGAAGTGTCCGGTCCATGCGGGACAAACACAAACGTAAGAAAAACGTTTGGTACAATTTCTTACCGGCATTTACTGTCATGTCTATTGTTTCTCATTTCTAGCTTACGCTTGGTATTGTCGGTGAAGGTTAGACATCCAGGTAATAAGATACACAGGTAACAGTTACTCAAGCATATACAACTGGATATGATTTGGGAAACAGTCAGACGTTTCAGGGTACGTCCACTACCTTTCGTCAGCGACACTGGTGAGGTCTCAAGATCAACTATCAATTGATACGCAAATGCAACAAAATGTTTTTTGATGTCAGTTTGGTGGCATTTTATTTCCTTCCCAGTCTAACCATCTTCCTCTTGTATATATGCACAGGTTTTGACTGACGATACCTCAGCAAGCCTTCTGACTCACGATATCCCGGCCGCTCTACCAACCTTCTCCTGTACGGGGAAACAGCCGGGCCTGTACCCGGACCCCGCCGACTGCTCCATGTACTACGAGTGCGTGACGGGCCATCCCGTGTACCACCGGCCCTGCGCCCCGGGTGGAACCGTGTACGACCCCGCCAGCCTCAGGTGCATGTGGCCCCACGAAGTGTCCGGTCCATGCGGGACAAACACAAACGTAAGACCCTTCGTACAATTTGTTTCAAATTCACTGTGCCTATTAAATAGCCTCTGCCAGGTTTCGGGAGACGGCTCGAAAGACTAGAAATTGAGCAAATAGAGAGATAACATGCCGAGGGAGAACGGTTAGTCCGCAAGAGAGTACATCTTGCCGTGTTCTACCGAAGCCTGGTTGAGGATATCTGTCAGAGCTTCGAATCGTCAATTATAGATAGACTTCCAGGTAATAAGATACGCCAAAAAACAGTTACTAGTAGAGCTGTGTACCTAAACAAATTTTAGGTACAGGTACAGGTACAGGTACACAGGTTTAGGTACAGGTCCGGACCTGAACCTGTACCTGAACAATTCGACCAATTTATATGCTCTTCTGAACTCCTTCAATAACAAAAAAACATTAATAAACTTGTTAGTTAAGGTTTATTCTTTGTTTATGGCGAATGCTCAGATGAAATATAGGCAAAACTAAAGATGTTTTTGTTTTCATGAACACACTGTCCTTACACAGGGACCCATTTGAGGTCACAAATAGGCATAAAATTGGTGTGAAATTGTTTAGGTACAGTACCGGTACTGAGGGATTAGGTATTTTGGACCTGCACCTAATCAATTTTTCCGGTACAGTATCGGTACTGCGTACCGGTACACAGCTCTAGTTACTAGTATTCAAGCAACCGGATATGATTTTGGAAACGGTCAAGAGTTTTAGGTACTATCCACTACCTTTCGTCAGTAACACTGGTGAGATCTCAAGATCAACAGGTTTGTAACCACGAACTTATATTAATATACATGTACAAATAAATTGTTTTAGGAGAGAGCATAACATTGGTATCATTTTATTTCCTTCCCAATCTAACCATATTCCTCTTGTATGTACATGTACAATAGGTTTTGACTGACGATACCTCAGCAAGCCTTCTGACCCACGATGTCCCGGCCGTTCTACCAACCTTCTCCTGTTCTGACAAACAGCCGGGCCTGTACCCGGACCCCGAAGACTGTTCCATGTACTACGAGTGCGTGACGGGCCACCCCGTGTACCGCCGGCCCTGCGCCCCGGGAGGAACCGTGTACGATCCCGCCAGTCTCAGGTGCATGTGGCCCCACGAAGTCTCCGGTCCGTGCGGGACGGGTGCAAACGTAAGAAAACTTTTGGTACTGTCACGTCTATTGTTTCTCATTTCTAGCTTACGCTTGGTATTGTCGGTGAAGGTTAGACATCCAGGTAATAAGATACACAGGTAACAGTTACTCAAGCATACAACTGGATATGATTTGGGAAACAGTCAGACGTTTCATGGTACGTCCACTTCCTTTCGTCAGTGAAACTGGTGAGGTCTCAAGATCAACTATCAATTGATATGCAAATGCAACAAAATGTTTTTTGATGTCAGTTTGGTGGCATTTTATTTCCTTCCCAATCTAACCTTATCCTTCTTGTATGTACATTTGATATCCACAGGTTTTGACTGACGATGCCTCAGCAAGTCGTCTGACTCACGATGCCCCGGCCGCTCTACCCACCTTCTCCTGTACGGGGCTGCAGCCGGGCCTGTACCCGGACCCCGAAGACTGCTCCATGTACTACGAGTGCGTGACGGGCCACCCCGTGTACCACCGGCCCTGTGCCCCGGGTGGAACCGTGTACGATGCCGACAGACAGGAGTGCAGGTGGCCCTACGAGGTGTCCAGCTCTTGCCGATACTACGTAAGTAGCTAGCGCGCCCCATCAGTGTTTTCATCGTTCAGAGTTAACAAAAAAACGGCTCGACGGAGTGTGAGATTGCTGTTCAAGATGAGTCTAAATTTTTTAGATATGTAAATGAAAGCTCGGATATCTTAAAATCTGTGTTGGTAGAATCCATAGTTGTAGAGTTAAAACTTTAATCCAACACAAGAACATCTGACAACGGTTGACGAGATCGACCGAAAATGTATGGTGAGTTCCTTTCTTGTGTTGGAACAAGGTTCAAACTCTACAACGAACTTGAACATCCGGCTAGACTTTTTTTTTACCAAGTTCTCAAAATGGAGGACTTAATAGTTTAATAGTGACCAACATTAACCATGGTGTGTAGGATCGTGTGGCGAAGCGGCAGAGTGATCGACTCGGAATCAAGAGGTCCCGGGTTCGAGTCCTGACATGCCACCGATCTTGTGCCCTTGGGAAAGGCACTTTACACGACTTTCCTCACTTAGCTCAGGTGAAATTGAGTATTGTCCTGTCCCCTGTGTTGGTGGCGGTATTAATATAAGTTGAAAAAAACTTGATTGTGCCGTCACAACGTGTTGTGATTACATGTTGGAATATAAACCATTAACCAAGGTCTTCGCTACCTCACACAGACGCTCCCAGCTAGCGGGGACGGGCCGTTCTCGTGTGCGGGGAGGGCGCCCGGGCACTACCCGGACCCCGACAGCTGCAGCCGGTACTACCAGTGCACCCAGCTCAGCAGCGAGCCGGTCCACCGGGACTGTCCACCGGGCGGGCTGGTGTTCCACCCCGGGACACAGTACTGCACCTGGCCATGGAGCGTTCCAGGACCGTGCGGGGTAAGAACAGTACTGTATCCCTGTTTAGCTTTAGGTTTGTTGCATCCATAACTAGCGATAGTGATACTTGTACGTACGTGTAAATATCTGGAATATACAGTTCATCAGCTCATGTGTATATAGCCTGTGAAACCCAAGCTCCGGGGGGCTCCCTACATATAGTCCGCCACCCAAGGTTGGCGGACTACTAGGGAGCCGGGGAAAAGCGAGGTTCAGTCAGGCTAATGTGTATATATGTGTCATTTTTTTGCTTTTGTAACTTACTGTAAGTATAAAAGTCATTCAGACAACGTTGCTACGTCTGTAATGTTGATATGTCAATAAAGAATTTTGAATTTGGATTAAAAACTTTGATCAGGCACGGTTCTGGATAGTCCAAGCGTATCCAGAACTGAGTCTGGGTCACATCGGTGATCTTGGATACGTGGAGACTACATATCCATAAAGGTGCCTGATCCTAACCCTGCCCCTTTCAGGCACATAACACGGTCTGGATGTTAGATTTTAGATGATCTGGATGTAACTAAAATCGTACATCACGAGACATTTCAAACACGAAGTTTATTTCTTTTTTATGTTCTAAACATTTGTTGTTTTGTTTTCGTTCAGAACTACGGACAGTGAGTGGAGAACCGCGTACGTAGAGTTTCTACACGTCTCATCTTATTAGATGATCCGAGCCCTACATCCTGGGAACCAGTGGACAGATATAGTTTAGATAGTTCTAAAGAGCTAGCTAAAATGCTGAATTAATTGTCACTAGTAATTGTTATACTAGTATTTCAGTCGTACTTTATATACTTTTGATACCATAGTTTCTGACTTTTTTCGTGATACGTGTGCAATAATAAGTATTCTTCAGTCGTCTGTACTGTACAGTATTTATTGTATGAAGAAATAAAGACTGAGAAATGCAAATCACAAGTTTGTGACTCATTTCATATCTGATTGTCAAGCCTAGTATTACTTACTTGTACTTGTTGAGGTCTCCTCGAGTCAGTCGTTCGAGTGGCCTGCGCACAGAACTTTTTTTTTTTTTTTTATTATTCCGAAACATGTAATCACAAGACGTGGTGACGACACACTCAAGTTTTTTCAACTTATATTAATGCCGACACCAACACAGGGACAGTACAATACTCATTTACACCTGAGCGAAGTGAGGAAAGTCGTGTAAAGTGCCTTTCCCAAGGGCACAAGATCGGTGGCATGTCAGGACTCGAACCCGGGGCCTCTGGTTCCGAGTCGAGAACGCTGCCGCTGCGCCACACGACCCCACTAACTCGTCTCTTCCTCTGTCAACAGTCCCCTCCACTTCTTCCTATCTCTTGCTAATTCCTTTAGCTCTTCTAGACTGGCACTAGGCCTCCCAGTAATTAGCGTAGCATCTTCCAGGACACAGTTAATCCATGATTTCCTAGGCCTTCCCCTTGAGCGTCGCCGATAATTCGGTTTCCAATCCAGTAAATACCTGGGCAGTCGCTCTTCAGGCATTCTAGGCATTCAAGCCTAGTATAATTAAGTGCATATTCATCGGTTTTAGACAAATTTGCTTGTAATATATGAAAAGCAAGCGATAAGCATTAACTAGATAGTAATATTAGCGGTTGCTAATATAGACAAGTTTGCGTTGTACATAGTCATTGTAGTGTAACTTACAATATGTTTTTTGTGTGTGCTTTACCTTTTACAGGGTTCCTTCTCATCCTTTTCTAATCCCCACTTACCTTGTAAACAATTTCGTCATCAATATACTAACAAAAGAACAATAGTTACACCCAAAACAAAATTTCACTTCTTTATGACTTCTCCATGCCCCATGACCTTTAACCTTTTGAGGGTCATGCAGGCGTCAACAGCGCCCTCCCCACGCCTTGCCCACCTACCTACCGAACTACCGACCTACCTACCCTCGCAAATGCAAGGTGATGTTTCTGCACTTCTCAAAAACTGTGCCACCACTACCCTCACTAAAAATTGACAACTACCCCCTAGTACAAGTTCAAGTAGCTAAACTCCTGGGGCTCCATATACAAGCTGACCTAAAATGAAACACCCAGGTGGACCACATGGCCAAGGCCAGGAGAGATCTTGTCACCTATATACAAGGATGTGAGTGTGTGTGTGTGTGTGTGTGTGTGTGTGTGTGTGTGTGTGTGTGT